CCGGCCGCCTCGCGCTCCGCCGCCGAGGCCCCGCGCGTGCCGCCTGCGCCGCCGCCTGGCTGGCCGGCCTGGCCTGTGCCGCGCCCTCGCTGGCCGCGCCGCACGCGCTGCGCCCGGGCCCGGGGGGCGCCGCTCGGTGCCTGGAGCACGGCTGGGCGCGCGCCGGCCTGGCCTACGCCACCGTGGCCTTCTTCGCCGTCGCCTTCCTGCTGGTGCTCGCGGCCTACGTGAGCCTGGCGCGGGCGCTCACGGCGCCCTCGGGCCCCGGCCCGGCCCCCGCCGGCCCGCACCGGCGCGCGGCCAAGACCATGGTGCTGGGGCTCCTGCTGGTGTTCGCCCTCTGCCTGGCGCCCTACCACCTGCTGCTGGCGCCCTGGGTGGCCGGGCGGGAGGGCGCCACGGGCGGCGACGGCGGCGAGTGCCGCGCCGCCTCCACGCTCGACGTCCTGCACACCCTCAGCCTGGCGCTGCTGAGCCTCAACAGCTGCCTGGACCCGCTCATCTACTGCTTCTCGGTGCGCCGCTTCCGCCAGGACTGCTGGGCGCTGGGCTGTCGCCCGGGGCTGGGAGCGCCCGGCGCGCATGTGGCCTCCTTGGCCTCCTCTTCGTGAGGCCCTGGCCTCCCCCGCCTGCGACACCCCTGCCACCCTGCACGTGGCATGCTGGGTGGAGGAGGCCCTCAAAAGGACCTAGATTCCAATCCCGAGACTCGCTGTAGAGCTCCGGGCTCGGCGATGACAGGGGGATAGAACAGTCTTTGCCACCCGAATATTCCCTAGATGTTGGCATCTTTTGGATACAGATAATATGCCGCGATATGGCTTCTGCGTCCCTCTCAGCATCCTCTCGTCTCCATCTCTTCACCCTCTACCACCTCTGCCTCTCTCCGTGGGTTTTGTCACCTTCTCAGTCCCTGGAACAGACCCAGTTCCTTCCCTTCAAGGACTTTGCACCTGACTTTGCCAGGAATGATGTCCCTCTCTCTCCACGAAGTTAATTCCTCTTCGTCCTCACTTCCTTAAAAGTAACTCTTTATAGGGAAGCCCTTCTTGACCAGCAACACACAAGCGAGTACACACACGATTGGGTTAGATCTGACTGTTCCTTCCTAGCCGTTTTCACAATTGTAATCAAGCAGTTAAGTGGGTAATTCCTTTTTTCTTGCCAGAATGTATTTATGTTGATCCATAAGAAGGTGCCATTTTTTGTAGATCCAAAAAGGTTGAATATTGGCAATTGTATTTTCATCCAATTCAACTTAATAAATTCCGTGTGTACCTTATTCACTGCTCTATCCCCTGTGCTTGCGACTGTGTCTTGCACACAGTAAGACCTCAATATCTAAGGTGAATGAATGAAACCTGGATATTATTAGCTTAAATTGCTCAAGGACTCACTCAGACATTCCAGATTGGTAGATTTTCCTCAAGTTTCTGGGATTCTCCAAGCTCATATTACCTGGATTCATTCTAGACGCAGTCTTGATGATTGCATCCCTTTTCTGTTGCTGGATACCTTCAATTCTGTCATCACCTCCACTGTGCCAAGACTCCTGTGCCAAGACTTGGTGGTAACCGAGCTGGAGATCTGTCCTGCTATTAGCTGGGACAAGGATCAGCCAGAATTGCTGCCTTCTGCTTCAGCTGAGAGCTGGGACTCTGTCAGTGCATGCAAATCCCTGCCAATGTCACCGGCCACCAGGGCTTTCCCTTCGCCTGCCTTGACGACTCAGCAGTTGGCTTCAGTTGGGGAAGGGAGCCACTCCCTCTCCTCAGCCATGTTACTGGAGGCCCCACAGCAGGACTGCTTGGCTCTCAAGGAGTTAGAACTCATGGGTGAGAGCAGCATGTTCATGTTGCCAAGTCTGTTGGATCAGGAAGGGTCCCCCAATGAGCCACTGGGTCTTATTTCTGAATTTGCCTTCTAATGATAACATTTGATAAATTCCTTCTTTTCTTTTTGATAAGTTACCTTTCATTGGTCCCTTATTCCTTTTTTATGTTTTTTTCTTTTACATTTTAAAAATAATACATGTTTGAAACTAAATTCAAAGCCTAAAGAAAAATGTGAAAGTAAAGGTCCCCTAGTGGTAGCTATTGTTCATTTTTTCTTGTGTGGATCTTTCTAGATGTTTTCTATTCCAGTACATATATATGTATAGTTAATAGTCTTCAAAAACCCACAAATGGGATAGGATTACAAGACTCTTCTCCAATTTTCTTTTCTCAGTTAATAATTTTGTACATCTCTTTATATCTTTTTATAATAATTATATCTTGTACCTCTACCTCATTCTTTTTGATAGATGCAGAGTATTTATTTTACTTGATTGGTTCACTGTTGATGGGTGTTTGTTTTCATTGTTTTCTGCCATAAATGATGCAATGAGTATCCTTGTCCACAAATCTTTGCATATTTGTAAACCTGTAGAATAAATTCCTGGCAATGAAATTGCTGTGTCAAGGAGTATGTATGTGCACTTAAATTGTTTAATTATATCATTTAATTACCACCAAAAATGGCGTGCCAATTACACACCCATCAACAGTACGTAGTGGTCCCTGTTTTACCACGCCCTTACCGGGATTGGGTATTGTCACCTGCCCTCTCTGGAAACTGGACTCTTGTCTGCATTACAACTATGAGCATGACTAATTTTTTCTCTTTTTCCTAGAAGGCTGCACAGTCTCCTCCATATTTATTTGAAACCTGGTGGGGGGTGGGAGTGTGAAGGAAAAGGTGTCACCTAAGACCTCACACCAGCCAAATCTTAGCCTATCTTGCTTTTTTGGAGGAATTAAACAGAAGCACAAATGAGACCCCAAAAGCACACTGGTAGGTCCATAATTGTTAGAGAGATCTCCTTCTTTAGGGATTATGTTGGTTCATCCCATGCAATGGGGACCAGCATCTCAGGCCAAGGCCAGGAGGCAGCCTTGGCCCACATCATGAATTTCCTTGCTCTGGTGGGATGAATTGCTCAGCCTCAGGAGCCATGCAAGCCTGGGTCTCTGAGAAATGATCTGGTGTCCCACATTAGGGCCAGCTGAGTCTCCGAAGGCTGAATTTGATTCTGTCCAAATAAAAAATGATTCCCTAAGGCCTCATCCATCCCTGTGGTCTCATGCTATCTTGCTCTTAATGTGACTTTTCCTGTAGTAAAATAGTCAGTTTCCTTTGGGAAATGTCTAACCTAGTCTTCTGTGTCTGACCTGGGGAAAAATAACTTGAGAGACTTGATTGCCTCTGGGAAGTCAGAAAGAAAGCCTCTGTCTAGAGTTACAAAGTGTAGGAATCATCTTTCCTTCTGTCGACTCAGGAGAGTGGAACCTGGGGTGAGGACCCAGAGGCAAAGAGCTGGAGGGATGAAGGAGAACACACTGCTTTGTACTGTCAGTCCTTTTGGATTCTCGATCCCCTTACTTATTCCAAACCTTCAAGAATTTGACCCAAGACTCTCCCTCAACCCAGGATGGAGAAGAAGGGAGCCCAGGTTGGTTGGTCCTTGATTAGATGCCGGACATCCCCTTTCTCCAGGATCCAGGGAAAACTCATCTGCCAATTGTTTTCAACAGTTATCAGTTATTATGCCCTAGAATCCCTCTGCCTCTTGCAGGGTCAGGAATGCCCAATCCCCGGCCCTGCCCACCTAGGCCCTTTGGCTATAGGGTTCCAAAGGTGGTGCCGAGAAGCTGCTGCTGACACAGACTCAATCTCCCCTTCTCTACTGGACCCCACTCCCTCCCTCAGCTTAATCACAGTCCAGATCTCTGAACCCAGCCCAACCCCATTCCTGTCCTTGGCCAGGGCTGGTCCAGGTTCTTGGCTCTGCACACAGCTGCCCGGACCTCTTGACCAGCTCAGCAGCCTCTGTGACCTTACCTGTTCCCACCCGAGTCCTCACCTCTAGCCCAGGTACCACTGGCTCCTTTAGCCTCTGTAGGGAAGCCTGTTAGATTTTACCTTAATTTCTCTCTGTCTTCAGGCCTCAAGGTGCTCTCTATGAAGCTGATGCTTTTCCCTGACATCTATTTCCCATTCCTCTAGCCCTAGGAGGATAGTGTTCTCCCCCTGTGGCTGCAGCTATCCTTCACTGATCCTGAAACCACCTCCTTGGATTTCATTCCAGCTTCAGGAACTACAACCCCCTTCCCAGAACAATCACCTGTAGGGCTCTCCCAGACCTGCTTTTCCTGCTATTGATGTGGCACACGCCCACCACCTAGGCCTAATAGAGACATATTGACATAAAATCATGCTTCCTCACCCCTAATTCTCAGTGAGCACTGGTCTAGTTCTGAAATGTACTTGTGGTTGGGGTGTTGGGTTCATATTGGCCCTTGACATTTGTGGAGTGCTGGACAAAAGTACAAAGAGAAGCTTAGATACTATTACTGTCTAAATATTTAAAAATTATAAATTAGGTAATCTCTACACCCAATGTGAGGCTTGAACTTACAACCCTGAGATCAAGAGTCGCATGCTCTTCCAAGTGAGACAGCCAAAGCTAACGCATTGTTAAATAAAGTGTGTTCCATCCTCCTACTTTTACAAATATACCTTCATAATGACAGGAGAGAAAAATGTGTAAATTTGTAGCTTTTAAGGGCTGAAAGTCAGCAAATTATCAAAAATGATTGAATTAAATTTGACATATTATGTTTAAACATTGTGTTTGAATCTTGTATAAGACATTACTGTCAGAGAAAATATAAAATATTTTAATTTAATTTCCTGCTTGGAGTTCTTTCAGCTTTTTGGATCAATGACTTTATAGTGTTCATCATATTGGGACAAATTTTAGCCACTGTTTCTTATATTCATTTTGTGAACTTTTCCTATTTTTCTGGGATTCCAATTACAGGTATATTTAACCACTTGAAATTGTTCCACTGAGTCTGTTTATTTTTCCAAGTCTCTTTTTCCCCCTTTCTGTTCTTCATTTTCAATAGTTTTTATTGTGTGTCTTCAACTTCACTCATCTTTTTACTCCAGTGTCTAACTTGCTATTAATTCCATCCAGTGAATTTTTCACATTGTATTTTTCATGTCTAGAAATTCCATTTAGTTATTTTAAAATCTTTTATTTCTTTTCTCATTATGTCCATATTTTCCTCCAAATTACTGAGTATATTTAACATAAATATGACAGCTATTTAAAGTCCTTGTTTGCTAATTCTATCATCTTTCTTATTTCCGACCTTTGTTTCTATTTACTAATTTTTTTCTTTTTTTAAGATTTTATTTATTTGACGGGGGGGCAGAGAAAGAGAGAGAGAGAGAGAGAGCACAAGCAGGGGGAGGGGCAGAGGGAGAGGGAGAAACAGGCTCCCTGCGAGCCTGATGCAGGGCTCCATCCCAGGACCCTGGGATCATGACCTGAGCTGAAGGCAGATGCTTAACCAACTGAGCCACCCAGGCACCCCTAATTTTTTTCTTTTGATTATAGGTCACATTTTCCTGCTTCTTGGCATGTTCGTTATTTTTGGATTAGATGTTGGGCATTGTGAAAGTTTTGCTATTGAGTTTTGCTATTGAGTCTTCCTCTAAAAACTGGATTTTGTTTTATAAGGCAGCTAAGTTACTTTCAGATTAATTGATCCTTTTGAGT